GCTATTTTATTCATGAGTGTTTGCTCTGTCTCTAAATTTTTAGTTTTCAGTTTGTGTGCAGATTTTTACAGTTACTGTGTATAATTGGATTCACAAGCTGTCATGGGGGAAGCTGGAGGTTTTAGCAGTTGAATGGGAGACAGAGCTTTTGGAAAGCATCGCAGTGCGGGCTTGTGAGATGCACCCATTAACTGGATGCTTCTGCCAAATTACAGCAGTGAAGTAGTTAACAATATTGACAATTGTTTCCATTATGCTTCAGAGTTAATATTCTGCTGAGGTGAATGGGTCAGTTCATGGCTCTTTGATTTTTCTTGTCTGAAGACTCAGGGAGACATTATTACTGCTTTGGGGTCTGCTCCATTTGTAACTGAAGGTTTTCCTCTCAACCCTGGGGGTTAGAAATGTGATCTATATATGACCCAAGGACCTCTGGATGCCAGCTGGCAGATGGGTTAGTAGGGGGTTCATCAAAAGAATGTCATGTAAGGTCTCTAATGAAAGCCTATATCACACTGGTCATCATAATCATTGCAAAGCATATGGAGTTATGTATATACACTGAAAATTATGTTCTTAAGGTCTGTGACTAGAGACTGGTCACCAGAACGGTGGAAAGCAGGTTTTCTTTCAGGCAAGAAATGTGTGTCTATTTGTCTGTTTAAGTGTAAATTAAGGACCGTATGGTTCAAAATGGGCATCTATTCACAGTGTGAGCCAAATGCTAATGAAGGATTGTGAAATCTTCAAAGAGAGGAAATTTAGAGGAAGAAGTGAACCAGTAAGGACAATGAACTTTTGGGGAAATAACTAAGAGGTATGGAGGTATACCCTTATTCCTGTAATCTGTGAAGCTAAGCTGCCAGCGGGCTTGATTTTATGAAAAGGGATCTCAGCCAAATTGGTTGAAAATGCTGGGGAAAGTACTTGGGGTAATCTATATTGTAGGAAATTGGGCAGTGCCTTTTAATTAAGTTTAGGTTCTAGAAAGCATGTTATGATTTTGTTTTGTGTATAACCATTTGTTTCCAATATTCTTACTTTCTATCATTTGAATCAGTATTCTTTGATGATAAACTATGGGCTTGTCTACACTTACTAGTGAAGACGCTACCTACACTGACGAGAGAGCTTCTCCCATCGGCGTAGATACTCCACCTCCCCAAGAGGTGTATCCTGAGCTGAATCTTGTAAACAGAGGGGTGCTGTTCCTTTGGAAGTAGTGTATCAGAGTTCTGTGTGTGTTCAATGGAATGGGCTGAGCAGTCCAGAGGGATCCTCAGAGGACTCAGTGGTTGGTGTGTACCTATTGCTAACCTTTGCAGAGAGAATTAGGCCTGTGAAGGCCTGGAAAGTCAGGCTTGTCTTGCCAGAGGCTGGTGGTTTCAGAGAGCTGATCCACAGCAGGCACAGACAAGACTTCCTGACGCTAAGGGCAGGTGGTGGGGAGGTGCCTCACAACCCCAGGAAGTGTCACACTATAAAGGTTAGATTTTTGGACCAAAGTAGGGGCACAGTCGGAATTTTCCTGAGGAGGGGGCCCAGGTAATCTGCCAAGTAGCAGAGATCACTACCAAAAATGTATGGGGATAAAAGTCTGCATTTGTACATGTTACATGGAGCATGTGACTTGTGAGGAGAGGCTGAGGAAACTGGGATTGTTCAGTCTGCAGAAGAGAAGAATGAGGGGGGATTTGATAGCTGCTTTCAACTACTTGAAAGGGGGTTCCAAAGAGGATGGATCTAGACTGTTCTCAGTGGTACCAGATGACAGAACACGGAGTAATGGTCTCAAGTTGCAGTGGGGGAGGTTTAGGTTGGATATTAGGAAAAACTTTTTCACTAGGAGGATGGTGAAGCACTGGAATGGGGTACCTAGGGAGGTGGTGGAATCTCCTTTGTTAGAGGTTTTTAAGGTCAGGCTTGACAAAGCCTTGGCTGGGATGATTTAGTTGGGAATTGGTCCTGCTTTGAGCAGGCGGTTGGACTAGATGACCTCGTGAGGTCCCTTCCAACCCTGATATTCTATGATTCTATGATTCTACACAAAATATTAAAGCCCATGTGTTCCAGGATTGCACCACACTGACCTGTGGGACTCGCTAATCAACATACAACATACAACCAAGAGCTGCACACCTCTGTGAATTCAATGCTCCCAATTTCCTTTTCAGCAGCATCCCATTTTGAGCATTCATTGGGTTCCAGGAGGCACCACATATATATGTTGTTTCCCCCTTCGCATTGCTGCACAGCACATATATGTCCTTGCCAAGCCACCATCTCTTCTTCTGGAGCATGCCTGGAAGCAGAAGAGATTGAGGAGGTAGCTTGAAGAGAGGGCAGCCCAGTGTTCTGGAAAACAGGGAGCTAGGGTTGGGGGCTGGAGCCACAGGAAAAGCTGCTGCCCTCTCTCCAGGCCATGCTGTTTGCTGACAGCTTCAATCACTACTTCCTCCTCATCTCCCAGGACTGGTCCCAGGTGAGAGAGACCAGCCAAGACCTCTCCATCTCCTTCCGTAGTGACCTATCATTAAGGCTAAGATTTTGTCACAGATATTTTTAATAAAAATCATGGACAAGTCACGGACAATAATGAAAAATTCACGGAAGCGCATGACCTGTCCCTGACTTTTACTAAAAATATCCATGACAAAATGGGGAGCCTGGGTAGTGGTGGGCAGGCTTGAAGCTCCAGGGTCCCCCTCTGCTGGTGGTTGGGAACTGCGGGGCTTCCCCTTGCTGCCTGTGGTAGCCGGGAGCGGTGGGGGGGCTCCTGCTCCCTGGCTCCGCAGGCAGCAGGGGACCCTGCAGCTCCCAGCCGGCACTGGCTGAAGTCACGGAAGTCTTTGCCGTCCATGACTAAATTGTAGCTTTACGTATCATCTGTTGCCAAGCAAGTGAAGGTCTGGTCTTATTGCATCCCTGGAGCAAAGTTCTGTAGCAAGGGTTGGATTCTGTACCAGTGGAACTGGATGATGCAAGTGCTCTGCTCTCAGTAGAGTATGTCTGTTGATGAAAGCATTTACACTGTACACAAATGAATGAAAGTACATTACCTGACTATTTTAAATTAATAAGAATATTTATTATTAGGATCTGTTGTAATAGCTTCATATGAGAAAAATATGCTGTAGTGGTTAAATGCTTTTTCATCTCCAACTTTAGAAGGGTTTTTTTTTGTTGAGAAAACAACTTTCTCATAGTTAAAATGGGAGTTTAAAAGATTTGTCATAGAGTTTTGATTAATAAGCCGTTTACGATTCCAGAGCCATTTAATGGACAACACAATCCCCTGGTTACATTAAACATGTTGGAGTGTTTGTGCAATATTATTAGTACTCTAAAAGGGAGAGAGAAAGCCGTGATAATGCCTGTTTTTGTAGAAATGGCATTAAGGAATTAATTTAATCTTCAGGAAAACAGTGTGTTTTTTAAAGTCTAGAAAAATAAATAGGCCAACAGATTTATGTTCTTTCTATAGATTTTAAATTCATGTATCTCCTTCATGAAAAAGGGTTTTAATGTACATTCTGATCTTCCGTAACGTATGCCATTTATATCATAACATACATTTAGATATTTCCACTTTCAGGATAATATTAAGATAAGTGCCAATGCCCATTATGTATTTGAAGAGGGAATTAGGACTATTGGATACAGAGGTTATATTGTATGGAACTGATTTCTGTATTATTCTCACTTTTGAATTGTGTTACATATACATAAATCATATGCACGTAATTCATGTGCACCATGAAAATTTCAAAGTGGGGTACAAAACACAAGTACGGTATGGCTATAACAAACAAAACCAAAACTGGTGTGTGTGCCTATGACTACTGTTGACTGAATTGTTAACAAATTAAATCCATTACATCACGTGAAAATATTTTATCTTTGTTAGGTATATTTTGGGGCATTTTATTAGAAAAAAACACTAAAGAATTTAGTACAGTAGCTATCCTATGGATATATTTAATAATTATTTCACATTCATAAATGGGAAATAGTGGAACAAAAAGGTATATTTTCCTTTTTTCTGTGAATGTATTATATTAAAGTTAAGAAGAATTTGACATCCATTGAAAGAAGAATATGTCAGATGCCCTTTGATTAAGCTTATAAGTGGTCCAGATCAACTTGTAAGTGACCTTTGCATCATGTTGTCTAGAAATTGCACTGTACTATGACATCTGCATCATGACATAATACAAAACGGAAATACCATGCTGCAGAGACCACTTTAGAGCAGAGAATCCAGATCCATATGTATCTTCGTTTCCCTTTTAATAGTGTACTTCAAAAGAGAAATTTGGGTATTTAAGACTCTCAGTGATATAGGCCACTGTGCACAACTATATTATACCATTGAGTTATAAAAACGCCTCCTATGAAATTTACAGGGAGAGTGCTTAAAAATCAATGGTGTGATGAGGCCACAGATATTACCAAAACATTTCTAAACACATTAATTTGTTGTGCTATTGACACTATTCTTCCAAGTTTCAGTTGCTGTCTTCTTTTCCATTTTAATAGTTAGAAGAAAGGGGTAACAAGAGTACAGATGCCACAGAGTAGGATCTGTATGTGCTTATATGGCATAGATAGCTAATATTTTTTTTTAGAATTGTGCAACTGCCAATCATTGCTCACTACAGTATTGTGGTTTTGGAATTATAGAAGTAATACGATTAAATAGCAATTTAATCTCCAGAATAGTTATTTGCATTTTCAGTGTATATCTCCACTGCTTTTTGAATGCGTACACAAAATTAACATTTTGCCAGTATTCGCATTGTTAAAAATAATTGTGCATAGTTTGATTGTCAAATGATAGAATCAATCATAATCGTGAATACAAATAAAAATAATGAATATCTTTATACAGAACAGAAAATTGTTTACAAGGGTCTAAGAATTTTTTTATATAGTATATTTAGATACTTGGTTATTTTTACCAGGTCTGATGTATTTAAATATTTTTTTCTTGTTTTCAGACAAGTATAAAGGAAGGGCTACTATTGAAGCAAACAAGTTCTTTTCAGAGGTGGAAAAAACGTTATTTCAAACTTCGAGGCCGTACCCTTTACTATGCCAAGGATTCAAAGGTAAGGATGTAAGAGACTGCCTTATGGGAACGAATGCCTTATGCTTGTAGCACCAATTGTTTCTTAGGTTTATTAAAATTAGAACATCGATTTAAAATAACACTGATTGTTTTCACAACCAATTTGCTATTTATAAAAATTAGTATACAAAATTAACTTGCAAAAGAAGACAGGTTACATACACCTCTGAGTTTTTGGTATGGTGGTTTGTTTCTGTTCTTTTACCCTTTTTAAACAAATTAGTCAAATAATGTTAATAAGCTGATTTCTGTTTTTTCACTTAGGAAAATAAATTTTAAAAAGGAAAAAAACATTGGAGGGATACTGTTCAAATGTTACACCTCAAAGTTCAAGCTATTATTGTCTGAAGGGCACTGTCCTGAAAGATACTTAAATGATTATGCTAAAATAGTGCTAGTCAGGAGTTATCCCTTGAAATGAATTTTCAATGGAAAATTAAGTTCTGAAAATCTGAAATTTTCAGTGGGAAAATTTCATTTTCAGAAATTACTCTCCTTTCTGTTAGGGAAAATCTAAATGAAATATTTTGTTTTAGGTCAGTTTGGTCCAAATGGAAATGTTTCAGTTTGTTGAACTGAACTGAAACATTTAATTTCAAGTCAGTTTATCATTAAGCTGCTTCTGCGTGAGCCCCCATGGTGCCTTCTGGGTGTGGTAGTTCAGGTGCTTCAGGCCCTCATTTGCTCCTATTGATTGGCCTCCTTGACCCCACTACATTTCCCGTGATGCACTACAATCTCCTCTGCGACTGAGCTGCATGGTGCATCAAAGGAGTCACATAGGTAAGAATGAGGGCATGAGTCACCCAAGCTAGGCACAGTTGTACAGTCGCTGCCCTGAAGAACTGACAACCTTAATTAACAAGACAGACAAGGGTGGGAAAATGGCAGGATCATTCACATATTACAGATGGGAAACTGAGGCAGATCTGGGAATTAAATCCAGATCCCCTGCTGTCCCAGTCATACCTGCCTCAACTGCAGGACTATCCTTAGTTTAGACTCCCTGCCATGAGTTGAATGTGTGTGTAGGGGAAGAAGGGGAACTTTCTTTTTTACTCTCTTTTGCCCACAGCACAGGAAGGGAGGAGAGACACATGACTGGAATTGTTTTACTGGTCATCAGTGAGCCTCAGTGAGCCAGCAGAACCCATAACCCTTTCCCAGCAGACTTAACGCTGGCTAATAGGCTGCGATGTTTAAAGTAGACTCTGCCAGACTGTTATATGTATCTGTCTTCTTTGACTCTATTATGGCATGCTTAAGTGGCACTCCAAGGCTGAATATAATATTGTAAATTTTCTCAAAGGTGTTTTTGAAATGAAGATTACTTTTTTGACTGGGATAAAATTCATTTTCAGCCCACTTATGTTTTTGAATTTTCCTACTGATCCGTTTGTTACATGGCTCCCTCTGAAAGGTGAAATTAGAAAGATTTATCTGCTTAGTAAATTTTCTACTTTTTTCATTTGATTCCTAAAACAATAATGTGGAAGTGAAAGTGCAGTAGGGTAAGTGTGCTTAAAAGTGGTATTTAATGTGTTTGTGTTATTTTCCGTTCACAGTCTCTAATATTTGATGAAGTTGACCTGTCAGATGCCAGTGTAGCTGAATCGAGCACAAAAAATGTCAACAACAGCTTCACGGTATGGTGCCTTTATCATAACTGTAGCCTTGAAAGCTATAAAAAGACTGTAACTAAGACAATCAAGAATGCTCTCAATAAAGTTGTTTCTCATTTTCCTTTATATGGAAGTGTATTAATGAAATAGCCTGTAGTGTCATGACAACATTATATTAACTGTTGATAATTCTGAACCCAGTTTCATGCACATCTTTTATCAGCTTTTAGTATATTTAATATTTGTTTCATAAAATGCTGATACAGAACATTAAAAAAATAGTGAAGGTGAATATCAACTGTCCTTATTTTCAATCATCTTTATTTTATGCTGTAGTTTATCTTTTAATGTGTCATATTCTTTTAAGTTAAATTTCCTGGATGATTATCACTAAGTGTGATTTTAATTCCCTATTCTTAAATTGATCATTCTGATCCTCAACTGTATTAAAATAATTGGGTTTTTTGCTAACCATATTATTCTTAGTTGGTTTCAACCTCGCTGTCTTTGTAGTTATACCTTATTTATACAGTGGCATATGAGTGAGGGCATTACAAGTTTATATAAATCCATATCGTAGTTTTACACAAAAACCTAGAATGTTGTCTTCTTTTCACGCTTCTAAGGGAAGGCTGAATGTTTTGTAATTGTTTTAAATTATTTCATTATGGGAAATAAGTGATAAAGATCAGTCTGTCGTGTCTCCCTCCCCCTCTCCCCCCTAAAAGTGGTGAGGTTTTGTGAACATTCTTAACTCTCATGGAACGGTGTTTTAAAGCCAAGGACTAGCTGCCAAGAAGACTCTGGGTGAAATCCTGCTCCATGAAATCAATGGAAATTCTACCATTGACTTCAGTGGTACTAGGATTTCATCATCTTATCTGCAACTCCCACCACTCTCAATCTAACTATTAACATTTTCATTTTTCCTGAGGATTTTAGCTGTCCCAGGTGATCTTGGTCACATAGTAAGAGTCAATTTCTGAGGAGGTCCCGTGCCTGCCTGATGAAAGCTTTGCTGATGAAGATTCCAGAGGCTCGCTCATTCTGGTGTTCGATGAGTAGCTAATGTGATCAGAGCAAGCGTGCTTTTATCAGCCTAGGTTGGAGGTCAGGTTGTTGCACTGACTAAAGTTTCTTTAGCATTTATAATTCCTTCCCAGAAACAGTGATTTTCAGTAACAAAGTCTGGAGGACCAAATCCACATCTGGCAAGATAGTATGAGATCTTTTGGCTAGGGGAAGGTAGAAAAAGGCCGTTTTTTGTTTTTTTTGGCGCTTTTGCTGTTTGGGTGTCTGTTGTCAGTGAAGAGTCCAGAAAGCCCTCTTGGCTGCATGCCACTCTGATGACAGTGGGGCAGATGCCCTCTATGAGGGTGATGGAATGTTAGCTATTTTTTCATAGTGGTTTTCATTACCTATTTGAAATTCTACTTCCATCTTGCCTGGTTTTAGCTTTAGACAAGAACTATTTATCATTCCAGCATTGGGATAGCTGAGGAATGATGAAGAAGTGTATTCTACCTGTGTGAGCAGAGGTTCAAAGTTTCTTTGGCTATCTTTCATCAGTAGAGGAAAGGCATGGGTGTGTGTCTCAGTTACTGGCCCAAATTTCTTTCAGTGTATCTAAGAATTCCTATGAGATGAATAGAGAGGGTTGGGTTTTTTTTTTTTTTTTTTTTGAAAAAAGGATGTAATATTGGTTTTTCTGTTCTTGGCCTTCATATCTTGAACTCCATCTTGAAGTCCATCTTTGATGTGAGTTGTCTTCTATGTGCTTTTCTTTTGGATTTCCGTACAGAGGTTGGTGCTGGATTCTGGAATAGGTTGGAGAATTCTGAAGGATATTTTGTTTTTTTTTACTTCATTTTTCACGGCTTTTTTGAGAACCATGGAGATTAGCGAAGAAGGTACTGGGGAAGATGTCTTTGGAGCCACAGTGTTGACAGCTGTGGATAGTGTATTATTTTCATATCTTACTAGGTCTTCCAGCCTGGGCAGAGCTTTCTCTAAGAAGTTTTATTTATTTATTTACTTAAATTATATCTTGGTCTGTAATTCTTCCGGAGTGGACTATATACTGGCCCTTGCCATTTGTTACCAGCTCTCATCTCCTTCTTGGTCTTTTGTCTTCTCCCCTTGAGTTTGTGTGACATAGTCTGACAGCAACAAAGCTCAGTGGGATAGTACATCTCTGTCCTTGCCCCTTGACCAATACTGAGGGTAGAGGTTCCAGAAACTCTTTGCCTTTCAGCACCTCTCCTTGGGGAGTACTGAGAGTTCTCTTTTCTCTTCTTTCTTTAAGAAATACACCTCTACCTCGATATAACGCTGTCCTCGGGAGCCAAAACATCTTGCTGCGTTATAGGTGAAACCGCATTATATCAAACTTGCTTTGATCCGCCGGAGTGCGCAGCCCCGCCCACCAGAGCACTGCTTTACCGCGTTATATCCGAATTCGTGTTCTATCGGATCGCGTTATATCGGGGTAGAGGTGTAATGTATCCCAAACCAGTTTCATTATCTGCTTCTTTGGGTTATCTTCAGCTTTCCCCTGTACGCATTTTGTTCATTAAAAATCAGTCAAGAAAGAATTAGATGATGTGGTTAACATGCTGTTGATTCTCCGTCCTAATGTGTGACACCCATTATTAACGTAGGTTTATTTTGGATGGAACAACCTCTGTCCTAATGGGTGTCACTGTGCTGCTGTCCAGTAATGATTGGGATGGGGTAACTCTTTCCTGCCTCTTAGGAGAGGGGAATACACCTTCATGAATATTTAGTAGTTTCATTGAAATAGTAATTTAGTTTTATTTTTTTTTTAAATCCATTCTTATTTTAAATGTCAGACTTGCCATATCACTTAAAAAAATCAGCTTTTCATGGAAAGCTTTATATTCTCTCCCCTTCACCCCTTCGAGTCTTACATCTTTTTGGAGATAGAAAGATGCACGTTGAGATTTTTAATACACTATAAGCACTATCCTTGGGAAGAACCCACATCCTAAAATTAGACACAACACAGCATTAAGGTTGGATTTATCTGAAATGTGCATATATTGCACATTTGTCGAATATTTTATGTGACTAAATGTTATGCTTATTTACCAGAAATATTTTCTCACCGAAACGAAGTGGGAGGAAAGGGAAGAGATTTGAAGGAAAATAAAATAAATAAAAAGAAGCCAGCTAATAAAGCATGTAACATAACATCTATTTCAGTTTGTTCTTCATAATTATTTCTACCCATGAATATCTCAACCCCCAGACAAACCTCCTTTCTGACAAATAGTGCCTAGTGGACAGGTTTGTACTTATGAGCAGTGCAGACCTCTGCTTTTTCAGTCTCTGAGGACCTGATGCAAAATCCACTGAAGTAAAGGAAAGTATTCCTAGTGACTACAGCAGGGTTTGAATCAGGTCCTAAGTGCCTATGTTGCTCCCTAAGTAGTCTGCTAAGCTTGTTTGAGTCCCCTCCCCCCAACACAGTGTACAACCTCTGCCTCAGTGAGCTGTTTAGAAACGTGGGTGTCTTATACTCAGCAATTCAATAGCAATATTAGATTTCTACTTTGGAATACTACTTATCGTAGAGAATCTGTGCGCCCATCTACACTGAGGGTACGTCTATACTTACCTCCGGGTTCGGCGGTAAGCAATCGATCTTCTGGGATCGATTTATCGCCTCTTGTCTAGACGCGATAAATCGATCCCGGAAGTGCTCGCCGTCGACACCGGTACTCCTGCTCCGCGAGAGGAGTACGCGGAGTCGACGGGGGAGCCTGCCTGCCGCGTGTGGACCCGCGGTAAGTACCTTGTAGTTCGAACTAAGATACTTCGACTTCAGCTACGTTATTCACGTAGCTGAAGTTGCGTATCTTAGTTCGAACTGGGGGGTTAGTGTGGACCAGTCCTGAGAGTATAACTGTGTCAGTACATGGCTGTCTGATAAAATAAGAAACACCCATATTTTAGTACCATTTTCTGTTTTTAGTGTGCATGGAACAGTGTGGTTCTATAGCCCATTTTAGGGACTGGTCTTACAGCCTAGTTCATAATCATAACATAATATGGTCCTGTTCCTCAGCTCCATTCTATACTTGTGTTATCCTGTTCTACAAACAAAAAACAGTCACAATGTAGATATCCATAATTGTGCTGACATGGTTTGATAGTAGGGTAATGCATGAGCAAGCTGGACTTGTTTCTCCATCGCCCTGCACAGTGTGTAGTCATTTGTGCCAGAGCAAAGTGTGTGCAAAACACTACCAGATCACAATGGTGCAACGTTTCACACCTGCTTTGAACTGGTCTAAATGCCTACATGAGATGCAGGGCAAAAGAAAACTAGTCCTGTTGGACTTAAAGGACATATCAAATATTAAATAATCAAAGGGGGAAAGGTGGGGTCGAGAAACATCTCTTTGGACGTTTTAAAATTTAAAAAATATTTTCAGGGCTTCCATTTTCCTGGTCCATCTGTCTAATGTTAGTAAAGGTAATGAAAGGAAGTGCAGGAACCCCCCCTCTCCCCACCATGGTGGAATGGAACACCCAATAAGGCATTACCAAAAGTCTGGAAATGCCTTTATTGGGTAAAGAGGCATCTCTAGTTGTCATTTCAATACAAGCTGAGGAATGTAAAAGCACAAGCTGTTCCTTTTGTGGGGAGGGCATTAGGGTGAATCAGACTCCTATACCCATCGCCAAACTGGAGATGGAACAGTGTCCAATTTCGCCTTTCTTTCCTTTGTATCCTAACTCTATTTGGATTTTTGAACAGGGAGAAATGAAGGTGCCTCACTCATATCATACCTTTATTCAGGAAAATTACTTTATTATTGTGCAAATGACTCTTAATTCTGTTAGATATGGAGGAGTTTTTCCAAGATGTGACCGTGGGATTCTAATCAGTTGGAGCATTTGAGGGGTCTTGTGCTGGAATTATTTTCCATTGGCTCAGGTGGATATACTTAGTAGGAATCTTTCTACATTTAATTATTATGGTTCTAGGACAGGCA